CGAGATCTATAGACAATCTGTAAGTGTTAAATTTTTAATTGTACTAGAACATGGTTCCCGCTTCCTGATATGCTCCAGTAATCAAGGACTTCCAGAATACTCCTTACATTGGGTGAGCAGACAATTATTAAGAGAGAATATAGATTTAGAATGCATATGTTATACACCCAGGTCGGATCTCTTCCAATCACCCAGAGGGTGAAACATATGACTAACTGAAGTTTTTAGAGGGATTGAGAAGTAGAATGATGCATATACTGTGTACCAGGTCGGATTATGAGTCACGCAAAGGAGACAGTATATAGCTAACAGATAGAAAGAATTGCATAGATAGAGGATGCAGAGAAATAGAGCTGCATATGTTACAGTCCAGGTCGGATCTTGAGTCACGCAGAGGAGGTAACATATGACTAACAGAAAGATAGAGAAAGAAAACAAATTTCTACAGACCTAATTTATCGGAATTCACCAGTCACCCCATCAATACCGGAATTAAGGACAGAATCCGCACATCGAGGAAAAGTTAATCCACGGTTCCAAGTATAGGTTCTTTAATGTGACCAGTAGATTCCCATATATATCTCCCTGCTCAACCTATCCAAGCGTCATATTGTCAGGCTAAACGGATCTAACTAGGTCAAGATTTGTCAAGTCTATGAATTCCTTAAGTTCAACTCTGCCTAGTCATGTCCATTTAGAATCTTTCGTGCCTACCAACGCATCAAACCCAGAGCATAGACAATTCAATTTTGGGTATGTTACGCAGACTCAGATTGCCTGTTATCACTTGATAATATCACTTCCCAAAACATCTCCCTCAAGCACATTTCATTAACACCATATTTTTGGATTTTCTGATTTTTTTAATGTTTTTGGATTTTTAAAATTTTAAAATTTTTGTTTTGTTTTTATTTCTCCCCCTAAATTTGTGCATAGGAGAGAAACGAAAGTAAATGCGCAAATTTAAACTATCCTAAAACAAAAATTAGTCTTTAAAGAGAATCAGCTTACGAAAAACTCAGGAGTATAAAGAAGAAAGCGCAAACCGTAATTCACCGATTGAATTTGCAACCAGAAGGTCTGAGAACAACACACATAATCTCAGAACAGATCCGAAAATTCTTCATGTCATTAAGCACTAACCCCATTTGTGATCTCTTCCTTTCTTCTTTTCCCGTAAAAGGACACATACTCCCAAACAATGTTCTGAGTGTTGTACAGTTGAGAGATGTCCCCTATCATGTGCCAGGAACAGCCACTACCAACAAACCGAATTCTGATGATATGCCTCCATAGCTGCTCCGACACAGAGCGAGATTAGTTGGTCTTTGGAACCCAGTCCATTTTGAAACTGGGTCGACCTTTGTCATCTTTGCAAGGAACATTCTCCCACGACATGTCCTGTTTATCACAAACAGAAGATGAAGAAACGTTAGAAGCATTAGGAGATTTGGGAGATTGAACCTTTGGTACCCATCTATAGTTGGGTTTAACCCATTTCTTTTTCGATCTGATGGTTGGCTCAGTACTTGCTTTTGATTTTGATGTCGGCCGTTGAGATGACTTTGACCTAACCGGTCTTTGTTTCAGTGGAGCATCTCTTGGATTGGGCTTCTTGGCCGGCATTCCCTTCTTGACCTCTGGAGTTGGATTCTTGGCCTTCTGCACGTTCCAGTCATCATGGTCTGAACGTGACCTTGAGGGGTTTCTTTTGGAGTATCTCCCTCTTGGCGCGTTCTGCCAGCCTTGTGCGTAGTAAGGAACGTATGCGCGATTTGGACAGTTTCGGGCAATGTGTCCAGGTGTTCCACAGTGAAAACAAGTCTTTTTCTTCAATGGGATGTTGTTTCTTCCTGCCCCTGGTGGCGTATCCATGCCTTGTCTCTTATTGATCCCACGTGCACACTTGCAACAAGCACTCTGTTGTGCTGGAATTGGAGGCCTGTATTTCTCAACGGCAGGTTTGTTAGGAGTAACAAAATTCAAAGCAACAGATTCTGAGTTCAAGGAGTCATTGGTTTGTTCAGTAGTGTTCTCCTTGTTCTCATCTTTTGCTACTTTACCTGCACATGAAGTAGAAACATTAGTATTTTCAACCTGAATACCTCCTGACACAAATCCAGCTGGTTTTCCATATTGAAGATGTGCTTCCTTGTCAATTTCTTCCTGTGTCATAGGGATGTATGTGTAGTTATGATTGAAAGGTGGAGGAACACTATCATACCCTATACCCTTGTTTTGATTATCTTTGAATTTTAATTGGGTTTCAAATAAGGACTCGACTGTCTGACTTGACGCAGTATAATTTTTGAAACTAACATCTGTTTTTCCACACTTAATTTTCAAAGTGTCAAGTTCTTCAGTTACAGCAGCAAGTTGTCTCTTAATATAGTCATAATTTTCACACTTGTTGCTATACGCTTCCTGAAGCTTCCTAAAGTCTTTGGTTTTTGCTTCTAATTCAGCCTTCAGGGGTTTCTGTCCTTTCCTAAGTTGATATCCTTCGTATTTTAGGTCCTCGACTTCCCTTTTTAGCAAATCATTATGTTCACGAAGAATTTTAATCGTATCTTCACAAGATGGAGTACATGAAACTTCATTGGCCGGGATGTTTGTGGAACTCATTGTTTTTCCACATTTCAAAGCATCAAGCTCTTTAATTACATCAACAATACTAAGACGATTGAGATCTTTTGTCTTCTTAATGACAGCTACGTTAATATCCCACGATTTCGGAAGTGAATTCAGTAGCCTTTTGTTTATCTCAGATTTGTTCAAGAAGATCCCAGCTATATTCATCTCAGTAGTGAGTGTGGTAAATCGCTGCAACTGAGCTTCCAGGGTTTCTCCGGGAATGTAGTTGAACATGTTAAAATTTTGTCTTAACATATCCTGACGATTCTCTTTCATGTCTTCAATTCCCTTGTTAATCTCAAAAGCCATTAAAAGCACAACTCGAAGCTAAAATAAAACTTAAACGTCAAACAAAAATTTAAAAATGCCCTTTTACTATAAACCTCAAAAGTCAACCTTAAAAGTCAAATTTAAAAAGTCAAACTCAAAAGTCAAACTTGAAAAATCAAACTTAAAAGTCAAACCGAAAAGCTAAATTTGAAAATTTAAAAATTAAACGAAAAAGTCAAAGTTTAAAGTCAAGGGTCAAACTTGAAAGTCAAAGTCAAAATTTTTGAAGACAAAAGTTAAAAATGAAAGTCAAAAATTAAAAAATATTATTTATTATTATTATTATTATTATTATTATTATTATTTATTCATTTAATTTTTTTTTATATTTTGGATGAAAAAGGAATTTAAAAATAAAAGAAATTGAGTTTTTGGGTTAAAAGTGTCAAATTGGCGAAATTGGAACCGAGAATAACGTGTTATGAATTAAGTTTCGAAGGAAAGACACAAGGATTGGGTAGCCGAGTTGGTAAGTCGCGGATTTGTTGAACTAGAGGTCGCCGGTTCTATCCCCGTCACCCTCAAAATCGTTCCTTATTTTTATTAAGGCGATGCTGCTTGCGAGGCTGAGGTGCGAGGCCGGAAACCCTACTGGGCCGTAAACGCCGCCGCCGCCGCCGACCGTAAACTGTTTCCGGCCGTAAACCCTTCAAAGGCCGTAAACCTTCAACAGATTCGCGAAAAAACAACGTTTTTCACCATTTTTTGCTCCAAAACTCAATCAAAAACTCGTTTTTATGAAAATGCAAAGAAGAAACCCCCCCTTAATTTTCAGAGATCTATCCAAAAACGCAAAAATATTTTGAAAATAAGATAAAATAAGCTCCAGATCTGACAAAATTGACTGATACAATCCTTGCTCTAATACCAATTGTAAGTCCCCAAATATGCTTGTGTATCAATCAGATTTAATTGATGGTGCGGAATCCCAATCAATTGGATGATGTCAGATCAAATAGAAGAGAAGGAGAAGAAGAATAATATGAATCTTGAATGATATGATTAGAATTAAGTTCCTTACAATAGATTCACACACACAAGATGCTCTCTTCTTCTCTCTAGTTTCTCTCTTCTCACGTTCATCAATCTATTCCTCACATCCCTCACCCCTATATATACTCGACTGGGCCGTAAACTGGGTTTACGGCCATAAATGGGTTTACGGTCGTAAACACCTATTGGGCCATAAACAGGGTTTACGGTCGTAAACCTGTTTACGGCCGTAAACACTACCTGGCCGTAAACCTGACCGTAAACACATATATGACCGTAAACACTGAGCTGTTTACGGTCCTAGACATAAAAAATACATTTTCCTAGAAAGGCAAAGTATAAACCATATTTTTGACCCAACATAGGCACTTTAGTTTTTTTTATATCTGATTCTTCGACCCATTTCTGTTTTCCTATAACCATAGCAAGCCCCTTCTGGGCAACTATTAAGATGTGAGGGTTGTTCGGTAGTAAAGAGGGTGCCCATGTATGTGTCGAAGCAGTGCTTTCTGAACCCCCAAACATGAGAGCCTATGGAAATTGTTTAACCATTAGGGCATCCATAATGCATTAAACTTATTAGAGTTTAATGGATTGACACATCATCATTTTATTGTCTCTATAACTCTACATTATTTTTTTTACAATCCATTGAACTCTATAACGTTCAATGGAATATATTTTTAATAGTTAAAAGGTTTCCTTTTTCTCATTGAAGAGTTTAATGACCATTGAACTTCATATCTGTTGAATGCCAAAAAGGCATCTCACAATGATAGAGTTTAATCCATTGAATGTCAATTAGGCATGTCACCTCATTCAACTCTCTCATTAAACTATGCATTGTGGATGCTCTTATTAATATATAACACATGAAAAATAGCAATTGCTTTCATTAGACGATTAAATATAGTAATATAGAGAGCAAAACTTAGTTACAAACCATTGTTGTCGCCTTGATGATGGTTTCACGCCCATGGCCAAACATTTCAGCATCTTTTGACAGGGTTGAGAGCATCACATCCATGAAGTCGGCTTCTTTTTCACCCATCATACTCTTTTCTCCTCTCAACATGTTCATCAAGCCACTTTCCAATAACTCCATCAACCTCTTTTGCCACTTGCTTTATAGCTTTCATATACCCTCCAATATCCATCCATTCCAGATATGAAAATAATTCAAACACAATAAAAATGCCCATAAGGTACATCCCTTTCTTTATGGCTTCATGTACACGTAAGTCTTCGTTGTTACCTTCACTGCTACCCGTGATAGAGAATCTCTTCTCGGCTAAGATTTTAATAGTTATATTAAACGTTATGTTCTCAAACCACTTGCCCATGTCTATTACCGATGCTTTGTTTGCGTTCTTTTGGGAAAACAAGGAGAGCCCGTTAATGAAGTTTGTCACTTCTGAGCTACGAACATTCTTAAATTTTTCAAGACGATGACTTGTAAAGAGTTCCAAACTGAACAACTTTCGGATCTCTCGCCAATATGGTCCTGATTCCGGTGCAAAACCAACATTATTATAAACCATGTGCCGGTTGGTTTCCATGTTCGGCCTAGCTGCAAAATTTTGGTCATTGGTGGTAAAACATTCTTTGACCATTTGCCAACTGCTCACAACAAGTTCTTGACGACTACCATGGCGTAGAGTGTAAACCGGTTTGTATTCATCATCAATTTTTCTAAGCACCCGTGCTAGAGGAGCTTAACCTCGTAGAAAATGAAGATGGCCGACAAAAGGTAATGCCCCTAATGGTTCTGGAGCTACTAGTTTGTTGCCTTTTCTTGTGTTATTTCTTCTGCTTCTTTTGTAATGAAATATTAGAACCAAAAGTAAAAGACCTATAACTAGTAGAAATTTAGTAAAATCTTCCATGTTGATATGGTTTTGTATTTTGTTTTCTTACTTTGGAATCATAACCAGAACTTCATATTTATAAGGAATGATAGTCTAGACGGATACAAAAATTTAGGATTCACGTACTGATGACCTCATTACAATTTGATAAGGCTACATGTTGTTAGGCTTTGGTAGTTGTTTTGCCATGGTAAAAATATGACACAAACGCGCGACGTAGGATTTTACCATTTTTTGCCACAATTTACCTATAAGTGGGGTATAGTGATATTTTTTTTACCTATGAAATAAAAATAAAAATAAAAACTTAAATTCTCATTGACGAATCAATAGTGAGATATCATAATTTTCCATTGGTGTAGTATTACATATGAAATTTACCATCGGAAAAAAAAAGATGTTAGGAGGTAGTGTTTACCGGCAGTAAAGCAAGCCACCTCACCTTGTCGCCGACAAATAAGTAGAACACCGTTAAGCCTTACATGGCTAATATTAGTGAACAGGACTAAATTTGATAAGGACATTCATGTATTTTGTATAGTTGAGAGACTTAAAAGCAAGTAGTTGTCACCCTATCTTTTTGGGTGGTCCTATTAACATCTGTAACATCTTGAAAACCATAAGCTAAAAATTTCATTTTTAATATAATCAAGACACCAATTATCTTTATTTCAAACATTCAAAGTATTTCATAATAAAATAGTTATCAGAGTGAAATCCCAAAATCATCATAGTGCGGAAACATGGGTGGATGCACTACGATCAAGTCGGGCCCTTCCCTTTTTAAACCGGAAAAACCTAAAACCAAAAACTAAAAACCATAAGTATGAAGCTTAGTGAGTTTCCCAAAATACTACATACCATACATATCAACATATATTGAGCCCCGCCCATCATCGGTCCCCACCCGACATCACGCCCCTCCTGGCATTGAGCCCCGCTCGGTATACAAATCTATCAGTTATCGGGCCCTGTCTGGTATACATATAAACATATAAGCATATAAACACATATACAAGCAATAATCACAAAGATAAATAGCATACAAAATGGTCATTGGGCCCCCGCCTGACATCAGGCCCCTCTCGACATCGGGCTCCTCCTGGTAAACATGTAAACACATAACATATGCGAAAGTCACGCATACATCTAGCATCCTAAACATAACAAACCATGGGCCAATATTAGTGTCTTTGACCGACTAACATACGAACAATAGATGATGAGCTCCCGACTCCGAATCTTAGCTCTAACCATCACCTATCCATCCAAATGACCAATTCTCAAACACAATCCAAAAAAAACCAAAATACCCCTAGGTCAAACTTGGTCAAAATCAGGCAAAAGTCAAAATTACAAAAAGTCAACCGAGTCAACCCAGTTGAGTACACCCAACGTACTCAGCTCTACACCTAGTGTACACTGCTGGCTGTCAACCCAACTCATTAAGAGCTTAATTCTTAAGCTCTTAAGCCCATTTTCCAAATCTAAGCCCAAAATAATGTCCTTGGCCATAAAGTTTCCAACTTTATGGTCTTGCATGGCCATTGATTGCTTAATGTCCAAAACCCTATGTTCTTAACCCATTAAGACCATCTAACACATGCATGGGTTACATAAAACACTCAAGATCATATTTTTATGGTTCATAATAGCTCTATAATGGATAAAGTTTCCAACTTTATCCATTAGAATGGTCCTAACAAACAAGATCTAGTCTTTAAGTCTCAAAGGGACCCAAAAAGTGTATCTTTTCAACTTATTCCATTAAGTCCAAGTCTCTAATCTTCATATCTGAACCAAAATGACGTTTAGATGGATAAAGTTTCCAACTTTATCCATAATAAGGTCACAAAGTTTCAAGATCCAAACTTTATGCACTCAAAGTGACCAAAAGCTCATAACATTCAAAACTAGCTAGATCTAACAATATCATCATCAAGATTAAAGATTTTACCTCTAGAAGAAAGATCAAGTTGAACAAAGTCTGGATCTAAAAGCTCCAAGGCAAACAACACTTCTTCCATGAGTTCCTTCTTTTCCTATGTGCACCAAGAACACTCGAAAGCACTTAAAAACACCTTCTTTTTGCTAACAAGGCTCAATCTAGGGTTAGGGTTTCAAGAGAGGGTGTTGGAGAGATGGAGGCTAAGAATGGGGTGGGTTTGGGGAAGTTAAGGAGCTTAAATAGGGCTCAAACACGAAAATTGGGTTTAGTTATTGATTGCTTACGCCCATAGTACTCAATTTACGCCCAACATACTAAGGATGGCCTATTGCGCGTAACGTACATGTTGAGTACGCCCAGTGTACTAGGGACAACCTAGTATGGCATGCGTACTCCCCGTACACCTTGTGTACGCGGCTGACCCAGAAATCACCTAACTTCAAACGGTCGTAACTTCTTCGTTCCAACTCCGTTTTCAACGTTCGTTATATCCACGGAAAGGTATTGAAGAGCTCTACAATATTATCTATATATCTTGGACTAAAAACTTCTCAAATAAAAATCCATATTTCATGCAAGAACCCGGCCTATGACTTTTCCATATCTACCCTACGGCCCAAAACACAATTTAAGGGTAAAATCTCTTAAGTAACATTACCTCCTTCCACAAGGACTAAACTTTGCCTCATTAAGGCCCAAAGCCTTACACAATTGATTTCTGGCCCATGGCCTAGAAATGGTAGGAAACAGGATGTTTCAATTCTCCCCCACTTAAATTAGATTTCGTCCTCGAAATCCGTCTCGGTTACGATTTTTCAAACAACACCAAACCCCCCGAAAGGAAAAAGACCGAGATGATTGCAGTGCACACACCACCTCGTTCCTCATTTTATGATTATTTTTGGTATGTTACAACTCACACAAACAACAACATTTCAAACCTTTGGCTGAACCAGGCCTTAGTAGGGCTCTCACTTCCTTGCGACAAACAGATCTTTACACCACTAGAGTTAACCACAAGATAATAACCCTTACTACTCTGTCTGAAGTCCAGAATTCTAATACCCTATCTAACTCCCCGGTAACAGCCCACTCTGAATCACTACCACTTCAACTCCATTTCAAATTCCAACCGATCATACCACTTCCAACCCTTTATTATCTTGTTGTTTCCACTGAAAACATAATCACTGACCAATTCTTACTGTCAAAAATGTTCACTTGATAGAAGGCTTATGTAATCCTTCGAGTAAAAGACTCATCCCTACAACGGTTAGACTCATTCGAGAGTTACTGTAACGCCCATAGATTCGGGTTAGTCAATTTAGAGACGATAAGCATCGAAAATGACTTTTTAATAGAAGATTATTTATAATGAATAATCTTAACCAAGTCATAGTATATCTTACAAGTGTTCCGTACATATAAACAACACCGAAATCCGAATGATAACGAAGAAGTTATGGCTCGTCGAAGTTTTTCGGCAAAACCGGCACGACACCGGGAGACCTAAATAGTGAATTTACGATGGAGGACTTTTTAGCCTTAGAAATATAAACAAAAGTTTTAGTATACTTTAAACCAAGAACATAAAAAAAAAGAACGCCCAAATCTGACTTCGTATGAGGAAGTTATGAATTTTCTAAGATTTGGCTTAGCAGTGCACAGCCCGAAACTCGAATTTTAGATCGAGCGGTTTTTGGCCTACGCGACCTAAATGAGAATTGAAGATCTCATTAATAGGAACTCAACAGTAAAAAGACAGACGAAAACAGAGTCCGTATGTAGAAGTTATGAATTGTACGCGGACATTTAATAGTATAATCTCCTCGTACTGTTAAATTTAAGATCGGTCGAGAATTAGCCGACGGAGTCAAAATGAAAGTTGTAGATCTTATTTTTACCTACGCGTGGATATAAATAATGTCAAAAACGGAGGTCGTATGTGAAAGTTACGGATTTTAGAAGTCGGAAGTGTGCTGTGCGAAAATGGATGATGTGGCACAATCTTGACAATTGCTTTCTCCCCAAGTCTTGCCACTAGATGGTGACATGTGGCACCAAGTTCAGTCATTTTTCACCCTATAAATAGAACCTCTCCCACCCTCATTTTCTTCACACCTTTCCTATTCTTTCTTCTCTTTACACTCTCTCTAGAACCTCTCTCTAGCCCCGAAACCCCCCGAAAAGCCTAGGGAACCTCCCTAGCACGAGGCGGAAGCCCCGGAGTGCTCGACGGCTCCGAGAAGAAGAGCTTTTCGGCTCGGGAACGCTGCTCCAAGCAACGCCCGATTTTCTATAAAACCCGTTGTAAGTGAGCTACGCCTACGCTATTTTTAATATAGCTTTTATTTAATTATAGTAACGTTATTAGGAACTTATAATAAGTACTTGGGCTATTATTATGGAATAAGTACTTGGGCTATTATTATGGGTTATATAAGTATTGTTTAACGCTTATATAATAGTAATAATAGCTAGACTATTAATTAGTCTCGACGAATAATAGACTAAACTCTAGTGGTAATAATACTAGGTTTCGTCGAAGGAAATTATTTTTAAGAAGCGAAACGTTGTCTGAGTTCGGAATCACCACCTTTTCAAGTGAGTGCATGTTCCCTTTCATCTTACACATAGATATGAAGTATTTTGTATAAATTACGTGCTATGGGTGCATATTATCTGTATACTTGTTATCTATGCTGGATGAACGATTTTATACAAGTTTTATATGATTTAAGCTGTATATATATTTATATCTACATAATATGTTGGGTAAAACATGGGTAGATGAAAT